ATGATATATGTATCACATACTCAAGTAGATTATTTTACATGATTTACAGTATAAATAAAGAGTACGTGATCTCACTATCACATTAAAAGTATAGAAATACTTATTTAGTTACGAAACATTTCAAAACACCTATTTAAAACAACATTAACAACAGACTTATATTATCTTACCTTCTTTACTGCATAATATTTTCAATCTTCTTTTACTTATCATTCTAAATATTGTAACTTAAAGTTGTCCATGACTGAATACACTTCTTAAAAGATGTAAACCAACATAAAAGAGAAATTTGTCATCTGACTCTTATTTATGTTAATAGTAAAACAAATAGCTAAAAAACTATTTTTTTTGTTGAAGCTTAAAAGGCAATTTTGAATCTGATAGTGAAATGGCCCGAGGTCCAAATGGTTTTAGGGCATTACTATTACTTGTCTCTACCTTCTGATATTGTATCGCAGAAATGTAATCATTCAACGTAATGAAATCAACATCTCATTCTAATGGGTACATCAAACCATGACCTCATTCACATCTATACTATAATGTCCCAAAATGATTTGGATGAGGCATTAATGTAACCTGCCATATTAAGCTATTTTATAACATTATTTCTCAAAATCAAGTAACTAGAATTTCATTTGCAATATATGTCTAACATAAATTCATCCAATTCCTTTCATATACTACCTGTGTATTATATACTAATTGGACTTGTAATAGAGTATTCTTATTACACGAATGCTGATTAAGGTTGGCGTGCATGTGTGTATAATATGGGTTAGTTTTCTACCTAGTCTCCCTCGGAACCCTCCGCCTTATTTAAGTATTGGGATCCACCAACGGTAATTTTTGTTCTGATTCCTGCTTCACTGTATTTGTAAATAAACATGTAATGAGCCTACACATGCCCAGTAAGTCAAATTTAGAAATCAAAACAACGTACTGAAATCATTATAATTCCTAGACCGGAATCCTCCTTAAGACTCTCCTACTAAATAATGTTTTCTTGTCTTCTATTATACCTCCATATTCTTTTTTTCATAATCATTCTTACCCCTCTCTCATTCAAACAGCCCACTGCCCTCCTCTGTGATGCTTGTGGAACATCACAGAATCTCTCTCTACGCTCTCCCACCTATAACAGTCGCTGGCCTTTCTTTCTGCTAGGTTTCCAAAACTTCACCACCATGATCTTCTTTTCAGTTCAACCCACATGTACCTCAGCATTCCCCAACACCTAATCCCTACGTTTCCTACCTCTTTTTTACCCAAACCGACTCCTTAAATAGGTAGGAATTGTCTCCATTGTCTGTCAACACAATATTCTCCCAAAATAACAAGTTAAATCCCTCGCTCTTTCCCGGTTTGCTCCCATATTCAACAACCACGTGGCTCTTTTGGTATTTCAGAACCCTTACACCCTTCCTATACCTAACCCATTTCTTCTACAACAATACAGCCAAACATCAATTTTCCCTTCTCATCTGTAAACTCATACTTAGTTGGCTCATAACCTGCAGATAAATTGGCAGACGAGGTAATAGTATTAAGTATCATCTATAACATATTGCATTAGACCTACTGACCTTCTGATGATCCCCTTCCCACCTTACATTACTACTCAATCAGATGTCATTACAGAATCAGGACAGAATGCAAAATAAACGACCCTTACCGGGCCACTCACATCAATTTTATTAACACATGCAATATGTATATCAGGTGTGACCATAGCAAATATCAGCCAACATACAATGCATTTATTTATCAAGCATATCTCAGCCACCAGTCAGCCACACACTCACGCGCAGTCATCCTACACACCAGAAATAACCAACAAATTGTTCAGGTTCTATTTCCCTAGCTTAGGCTTAGTTCCCCTACATGCCCGATCAAATTTCCTCACATTAAACTCTTATACATTCTATCTATCTGCTATCCCTCTTCATCAGTTCTCCTCTATTTGAGTCCGATGGTTTTCTGTTATATTTTACCCTTTTCTCCTACTTAGTTTCTGTATAAGGCTAACAGATTTATGTTCTCTCTCGTCTCTATGTTGGATCCAGCCCTGTCATTCCCTTTTTCCCCGATTTCTCCATAATATAACCTACTCATTCTCTTTCTTCTCCGCTTCTCAGTATCCGTTCATGTTCTCTCCTCACCCGGCTATCCTATTCAGTTCTCCCAACTCAACCCCTTTAGATCTGGTCATTTCTAAAATATATCCAGTTCATCACCAAATTTGATTTAACTAGCATTACTCTCACCTTCTACAGCCTCCACTCATTTAGTATTTACTCACAGTTTCCCTATTTCAGAATAATCGTCATGTAAATGGATATAAATAAATCATATGATACACGAATCATAGTCCTACTACAATATTTCACCTCATCCTTTCACTTTCCTAACTCCTCATCGTGGATTCATCTTTTGAAACAAGGAATTGAAATACACATTTCAAATTCAATGTTTAAAATTCTGAATTTATCTTACCTGTTATTTCCACCTGAATATTTGCCTACACAGTTATCTCTCTTCGGACCCCTCTCGTCTCGGCGGATTCTTGTCAACGATTCCTCCTTCTAATCCTCCTTGAATCATGCTGCCTTTCGTCATCTTTGCTCAACTTCTCTGTCTCACTCTCTCTCTTGGGCTTCCTTTTTCGGCCCTCTCTTTCA